GTTTTAAGTGTATAGAGCTCAGAAAGATAAGAAACAGCAGTATGCTATAGGCTCAATATTAGGCTTTCCATATTCATTGCAATGAGACTTGTTTGGGGATATTCTTATTCACTTGTGTTTCCATGGTAACAGTTAATGCATTTAAAATTGAATACCAGATTCCTGAGACCAAGCTGGTTGATTTGATGTATTATATGTGTGGGTGCTCAATCCTGCTTGGACAGAAAATGGTTGAACACTCAACCAATCAGAGAGCAGCACTTTTTTCCCGCCTTTCTGTAGGAGAGCTGCAGTTGTACTCCTGTTAATGAGAGAAGCCTTTAAATCTGTCCTTCAGAAGTGAAATTGGACCTGTCAAACTTCTCATCACCATTAAAAAAGTACTGCACCGATTTTAAAAATTCAAAAAGCGTGGGTGGCAGAAGGCTTTGGTGGTCATGTGTGTGGAGTATTGTGTGCCTACCGCAAATGTTCTAGAAGATATGAGGAGAACATTTCAGCTGTCTGTCGGCCACAGGTGCCTTATTTTTTTAAAGGGGTTTAAATGAATGAAAGGTGGCACAGTCCTCCTTCTGGGGATTGTAGTACAAAAAAATGTAATACCAACAGCAAAACTGAAGACAGCACATTGAAGCTGACAAAAAAACCTACAAAATTTGAGAAAATACTATAAAAGATGTGGTCGGTAGAAATTTTTGTTTCAAGATTTCATAAATCATGCATTTAACAGAGCTCAGCTACTCAGACCTCTGACACGTCTCATCGCCATTCAAAAACTGCTGCACCTATTGGAAAAATTCAAAAAGTGTGAGCTGCAGAAGGCTGTGATGGCCATCTGTGTGAATTTTTATGTGCCTACCATGAATTGTCTAGAAGCTATGACGAGAACATTTTAGCAGTCTGAAGCCGATCGGAGGAGAAAATCTCTGCTCCTTTAACATAGGTTTCAATGAGACAGAATCAGGGTCTCGCCTGCTTCTGAGGCTTGTAGAGACATAGATGTAACACTTAAGGGCAAAATGAAACCCATTCTGAAAAGCTGACAAAAATTCCTACTTTTAGGGATATCATTTGTTTCGGTACTCCAAACGGTCTGGGTGTTTGAAAGAGTTGTTTCCAGAAAATGTGAAGGTCAGAAGTTATAGTGTGGAGTTTTCAGTTTAGAGTGGAGGGAAACATTTTTTTAATTTTGAATATTCTCAAAGAAATGAACAAAACGACCACATTGTTTGGAGTACATTCATGATTTATAGCTCAAAACGAAGGTATATCGTTTAGCTGTAAGCCAGCGTGTGTCTCATTTCAATCAGACTTACGGTTTTCTCAGGACAATGCCAGAAATGGAGCAAAGGAGGGTCATTGCTCCTATCTCTAGCCATTATAATTTTTGTGATTTTTTCTGAAAATCTCAAGCCGCACCTCAACTTCTACCTGTGATTTTAGAAAAACTGTAACAGATATGTAAAGGATTTTTAACCAGTAATAGCTGAAAGTCTTGTGAGTTTGTTGAAACTCGAATGAAGTCTCTAGGTTAAAGTTAACATATAAGAGTAAGAGTTAAAAAAGTGATAGGATTTAGCTGAAAATTGAGCAATCCCATTCATTTCAATGGGACCAAAAACTGCATAAAAAGTTGAATATCTCAAAAAGTATAAAATATTTTAATACCAAAAGTCATTGCCGGCATAAGCTGAATAAGCTGAACGTTTTGATATCAAAATTGTGTAAATAGTTGAAGAATTGTGGAAGTAGTTAAATGCCCAAAAAACATACGGAAGCAGAATAATAAACTAACCGACTATAAAGAGAAACAGGATCACTATTGTTTGAATGCTTTACAGCATTCAAACAATAAGGAAAGAATCCTAGATCTTCTGATAAGCACAGTAAAGACCAATCAGAGTTGAGATTCTATATTTAGAGTATCACAGCTTATTGGTCATAAGTATATATCAATTTACCAAACCCTACAAACAAGATGGCGACAGCTTGTTTGAAACGGCTTTTACATCAGTTAGGACTATTAGGACTCGGGCTTTATTAGAATCAGGAACAGATGTCACGTTCTGCCCCTGCCTTCCTGACTGTGTCTCTCTCCTACCCTGATTAGCCCTTATTGTTCTCACCTACCCCTCGTTAACCTGCCCATGTGTTCCTGATTTCCCTGTATATTTATACCTCCCTCCTTGTGCCAGTCTTTGTCAGATCATTGTTGTTTGTAGTCATCGTCGTTCTGTTCCTGTCGTTCCCATTCCACCATTAAAACAGTTTTTATTTTTCATCCGTGCCTGCTCTCCTGCCTCCTGAAATCTCCACCACACATGGTCCATCATCTTCACACCCCTGCTACATGACAACAGAGAGATGTATTTAAGTTATTTTTTAGAGAAAAGGATGTATTTTCACCTTCTGCAGTGGACCTCCTCATTGACCGACATTCGCTGCAAAGAGTACATCATGTTCATTGTCCAATAGCATGCAGAGATCGTTTGAAAGACAACGGTAGAACCCGCCCCACGACCGAGAGCCGTCAGTGGAGCATTGCCAGCATGGGCGTCGCACCCGTGGGGGATGTGGGGGATTCAACACCCACACTTTTCTTATTGGGATCGTTCAACTGACACCCTCACTTTTCCAGCTGTTTTGCTCACCTCCACACCAGTTTGGTCTCTACGTCGCAGTCTGTTTACCTCGGGTTTCGGTTTCAAGCAGCAGCAGGAGAGGGAGGGAGGGAAGAGCCCAAGGGCTTCCAGGGGCTCTTCCCTCCCTCCCTCTCCTGTTGCTCTAACACAACCGGCTTTCAACCAATCAATTTGCTTCCCACCATGAATCCCGCCTGTTTGGTCATTGTCCAACATTTGGCTTGTTGTGGTGAAAATACACCGGGTATGTACCTACACAGAAAAGGCTTACACATATTTTATCTTAATATTTTAGCAGATATTACCCAAAAAACATTTCCTCAGTCATATTAGGAAGATCCATGTCAAAATCAAGCTTTTATTTACCTATTTCTTACTCAGTATAACAAAGATGCAGAAAGGGATAAGGCAGAAGAGAATTGAGCATCGCACCCGTGGGGGATGTGGGATTCAACACCCACACACCCACACTTTTCCAGCCGTTTTGCTCACCTCCACACCGGTCTGGTTTCTTTGCGTCACACTCACTCTGTTTGCCACATCTCCTTCTTCACCTCCCGCTTCTGACAGCCGATGTCGGGTTTCAAGGAGAGCAGGAGAAGGAGGGACGGAAGAGCTCGACTGAATTCATTTTACATCTTGACATTAGCTGTACAAAGTCTGAGTTTGATCATGTGAAGCACAATAATTTGCAGAGGTTATAACAGGCGAAGCGCCAGGTTTTCATTTTTGGATGGACCTTAATAAGCAGTGACTTAGTGAAGCAGGCAGGTCGCGCTAGAAAATTTCGTTTGAAGAGACGTCATAAATGTTTTACCCCGTCATTTTTATTTCTAAAATATGAAGTAAAAACTCACAATTTAATTTTCATTCATTTGTCATTAATATGTAGTCTACACCCGTGCGTTAAGTGGACCATCTTCCAGTAAACGCACAGCATCCAGCCCACCTCTCCAAACGCGTAAAATGTGCATCACAGCCGCTGGTTAGGCGCGCCACGCGCACTGTCAGCTACGTCAGCCCAGACAAGAGCAGAGCAAATAGAGAAAGAATAGAGGATAATTGTGTCTGGATGTGGATGGAGATTACATTTTACAGCAGCCTGATCATCATTTAAATACGTAACCATCACCTGGCTTCTAGTCCACGCTATCAGCATTATTTTAATTGGTGTGTGTGTGTGTTCCACTTCAAACACTGGTCTAACCAACCAGACCAGCATGTCCAGTAACATATTAATGTTACAATTAAACAGTTTCACTTCATGTAGTCTAGGAACGTTTCACCTGCCGTGGCCCGACCGCTTCTGCTCCACATGAACTTTGTGCGTGATCAAATGTCTCTACAGGTGCTTTCTGAGCTGAAGAGGCTATTCTGCCTCAGACTGGATGCGTCATGCGTCTCCATATTAGAGACGGGAACAAGCGCTATTCAGCCAAAGTTTCATAATTTCATAAAAAGAGCATTTTTCCAAGTGACACATCCCTCAGAGAGACAGGGTTTCTTGTTCTTTCAAAACAACCAGCATCCTTGAGTTAATCCGTCAAAATAAACAGTCAAATGGAAATATCTGTAACCTGCCATTTAAAGAGCAAGTAACGTCTAAATTAACTTTTTTTTGCTGATGAACTGTATAAATGAGTGTCTAATAGTGTTTTAAATGTGTGCATTCTTTATTTTAGCATTTTGGTGCATTTTCTTTAAAAATTAAAAATTCTGTCTAAAAACCACAGTAATGCGCCACCTTCAGCTGAAAACATAGAATTTGAGTCATTTTGAATAAATTTTAGTCAATGGCTAAAGAGTAAATTACTAAGTAAACCAGTAGAGTACTACGTAGCAGCTCCGTGCCAAAGTTATAAAAGCAACGAGCGTCTCGGCCACGCCCTGTGGCGAGTGGGAGTTGGATTTGCAAGTGAGTGTAGGAGGTCAGCGGTAGTTCAGCATTAGCATATAGCATTAGCGTATCCTAGTCTTAGCATATCTTTTAGTGTTATAAATACTTATTTAGTGTTAGATTTGGCTGTTGGATATAGTAGTTTAGTTAGTGTTTGGCTGTTAGTGTAATTGGGAAAGTATTTCGGGTTTAGTGTTCCATATCGTCTTAGTATTGGTGAGTAGGTGTAGTGTAGTATGCTTGCGGTGACTCTGTGGGCATTTTACCCGCGATTCTGCATGTCTCCGTTTGAAGAGGGAGGCTGTGCCCACCGTAGCTCTTCCGCGATTTAGATGCAGCCCACCGACTCTGCTCCCCCACCACGGTGGGCTCCAGTCTGAGGTGAGTAAGCTAAATAAACGTTTTAATATCTTCTAAAGACAATTCCCTACCTAAATGCAAAGTCCGAGAGACATGGTTCACTTCCTTTAGCTAGTCAGTCGGCAATTCTGCAACAGTGGCTCTAACTGACGCAGCACTTGACAGACAGCATTACAGCGTGAAATCCAGCTTGTGAACAGGTTCTGTAAGGAATTCTGTTCAGGAGGTCGCATTTCAGGCTCTCCACATCATGTGTGACTGACTTTTACGTTATAATGATCACACACTAGGAATGTTATAAAGCACCTATATGGGACAGTTTCTTTTGTATATTATCTGACTTTATAAACTCTCAACAACAATGTGCTTATATATTTTTTTCAGGCTAAATCTACCCAAGACACTGGCTGTCAGACTGATTTAGCTGCAAGAATGCACTTGTCCAGGCTGACGTGAAACCTTCCCTGTAGCAAAGGTGAATTATTTTTAATAATCTTCTATGTAAACATTTTATTATCACCTTCTAGTTTTAATTTGTTTTACAGATTATTGTTACACGTGATTTTATGCTCTTTTAAACATTTATAAATGTGCTGCTTCTTTGTTTTTACATAGCCAGCCAGAATGGAGTTCACAGCCGCAGTGTGTCTGGTGACCCACGGGGACCATGATGAAAATTCATCTTCCAGAAGGTCCCAGAGCAGCGGCCACACCCCCTGAAAAGACCAAGGTGTGAGGTGTCTGCTGTTGATTCCAGCTTCCACCTCAGTGACGGTGCAAGCTCAGTGAACTGTTCAAGGTAAAAAAAAAATTAAAACATTTCAGAATTTTTAAGATGTTAACAATTAAATAAGTATGTGATTACATCATGACAGAGGCTACTGATTCCGCCCCCGTGACACTTGGTGGTGACGTGTGAGCTGATTCACCTGGAAAATAACTTTTACATTAAATATTTTGTTTTTGCTATCAAAAGTAAATTAACTAATAACCTGCATTATTGCAGGACACTCAGCAAAATATGGACTCTACACCATGAGGCAGGCACATGTTAATACTCTATAAGAGCACATAAGGTGAGCAACACCACATATTATTGTTATTATTGTACACTGTCCTGGATTTGTTTTCTTTCTGCATCTCATCATTAGCCTGGCTGATCACCTGATAACTCCTGTCATCTGGTTATGAGAGCATGAGGATGTCCTCACACACCTGTAACCTATCAGCTCATCTGGCAGAATAGAGAGAGAAGAGACAACACCACATCTCCTGTTCCTGGAAAGCCTTCAGCCATCCTTCGATGACTGAGAACCTCCATCAGCTCTGTCTCCTGTCTGCCTACAATAATTATAATAAATATTGTGTTTGACAAGTTTTTTGTGCTGCCAAATATCTCATATAGATTCCAGTTTTGATATTTTAATGGATATTTATAAATTACATTAATTGAATTATCACAATGCATGTTTAACTAGCTCTATTGTGATGAATTAAACTAGCACCTCACTGTTAAAAGCTCGTTTTAATTTCAAGCATGTTTAAGTATTTATGGACATGAACAAAAACAGGAAATATATAAATTGAGATTTATTTAATTAATATAACAAATAAGGAGGAAAGAGTCATTGAAAGGCACATTCTTCTGGAAGCTCCTGATCCTGATTGCACCAGCAGAGGAGACCACCTGCAGACACCAGAGACCAGCTGCAGACACCAGAGGACCTAGAACCAAGAGAGCAGCTGTTATCAGTAAATAAATAAACCAGGGCAGTTTTAGTGAGCTGAACACATTACAGAATAATTTTCTCATGGGGTATTTTCATAACTTTATGCAGCAGACTGTAACTTGAGCCCAGAGCTACCGGAGAGCTGCTATCCAGCACGTTTCAGTGGATTTTCCTGCTTTAACAGGTTAGATTAGCTGTTAAGCAGCTCAGCTATTTGTTGCAGATTAAAACCAGGTGTGCTGAAGCAGATAAACCTCTAAAACATGCTGAATACTAGCTCTCCAGGGCCGTGGAGACAAACCCTGCAGCTAATCCAATGCTATGGCTAACGGCTACTTACGTTCAGAGGTGGTTCTGTTGGGTCGGTTCTGGGAGTTACAGGCAACTCACAAGCTCACAACAATAAGGCTCAGGTCCGCTTGTCTCCTCCAAATAGACTTGGTCCCTTTCTTCTCGAGTGTCTGGGTAAGGAGGGGGAGAAACGTCCTCCATTTCTAATAACTGCATAGAGTGAAGGGAGCTAGCATCGTCTAGTTAGCCGTCGTCTTCGTCACTGCCGCGGCTCCGCCCTCTCGGTCCTCCAGGCAACGCCTACTAATGTTGCATTTTTTAAAATTGATACGTGGGTAGAGAAGGACTCCGAGGCTCAATTGACCCGCTCTTTAACTGTTTTACCTTCCTGTGAAGATTGTTGCAAAGAGAAACAACTAAACTTGATTAACCCCAGAGCCACGCGCACTGCGCTGTACTGACTGTAAAGTGAGGGGGAAATGATTTAATTGAATTTTTTTCTTTTCAACATGGTTTAATGTAAAGTTTCATTCATTACAAACTTTAGTTACACCAGTCTAACGAGACAGAGCCTGGATTTGTATTCTGAACAGTTTAAACATGTTTAAAACGGAGACATGCGTGACGCGTCTAAAATTCGCACCTGCTCCGCTATTATGGAAATTAAACTAACAAGATGAATAACAGGAACTTATTTTAGGCACAGAAAACATCCCCCACACTCTTGAAAATCTTGCAACGTGCCTGGTTCACAGACTAAATAATATATGTATTTAGTCTGGATTGCCAGGCTAGTTAAAAGCAGTTGTCCTCACATATCTGCTGGTAACTGTGGTTTCTCTTATTTGGTTTAAAGCTGTTGTAGCAAATTTACAGAACAAGCTAGGTTTTAAACGCGATCACAGAACACTCACCCCTCCCCTTGGGTATCTTTCCTGGTTCCGCGTCCATAAGACCTGAAAACCCACCCTGCCAGAGGAAACGAGATCGCGCTCAACACCAGTTTTCTAGGTCCAAACGTCTTTTGTTGTTCGTGACTTAAATGGTGTTTTTCTTTTCGGGACTCTGGTAGGGTTATGTATTTAGCAGACGCTTTTGTCCAAAGCGACTTACAAGTGATACTGAAGCTAGCTGTTCAGGAGTTTGTCCTAAAGCTGAAGTGGTAGCAGCCGGTTGTTTCTCCCTCTCTGCTAATATTGAGCGGAGAACTTCTCACACCAGTGGTGTTTTTTTTTTGCTGAATACACAAGAGTGTGATGAGTGGAGGACCCAGGGAAGTGCGACGGCCCGGCAACCGGATGGTCCAATCGTTGGTTTTGGTCTGAAACGTGTTATTGGTGGAGGTTTTTAGACAAACGCAAGAGAACCACTTTATTTACTTCACTTTTTAAACTCCACAATATACTCCTGTTTTAGACTGTTTTGATTCATGACTTTATGACAGATGAGGTTATGTTTTTATCTATGTTCTTGTCGTGAACCCAAAGAGCTGAAATGATCATCAAACTGAAGATAAATAAGACGTTCCTCCTCTTTTACTGCTGCTGCTTTTAGGATCTGTAACCAGGTTTAAGGCATCACACTCATCTGTAGCCGAGTTACGACTGAAGCAGAAACTCAGAGAAGACGTGTTTCATGTTCTGAGATGAGAACGACGTGGACACGGTGACTTTCACAGTATCACAGGAACCAGGCAGGTTTTGTACTTGAATGGATCACATGAAGCTCGTGATGTCGAGAAGCTAAAGTCCAGCTGGCTTCATTTGGACCTAGTAGAAATGAACCATACAGATCAGTACTCACAAGATACTGACAGGTGTACTGAGTACTTATGGGAGTATGTACTTCTAGGGTTTTTTCCCTATATACATGATTCTGTATTTTCTGTTACTTACAAGAATGAATTGAAATTTACTTTTCTATGTTCTCAGATGACCAGCAGCTATGAAATGAAGATGTTTTCCCTGTTTTCAGCTGGTTTCTGTTGTCTAATATTTAACGACTCTCAGGTTAATGGCTTCTCATATAAATCATGTCAACACCAAAAGCTGCAAAGTGCTCAGAGAATTCATAAAATCACAACTTAAGTCATGTTTATCCTAATTAAATGGAACAAAAAAGCAAAAATGACGTTTTCAGGTCCAATAAAAACCCTGACTCCACCCACCACATGAATAAAATCTCTGGCAGCTGATTTTCCACTGATCTCCTACCTGTATGATAAGGACAGCTTATATATTATTGCTTTTCACTGGTAAAAATGTGTGTTGGGAATAAATCTACCTACTTTTTTTTCTTTTCAAGCACTTTGTTTTGTTCTCTTGATTTTATTTGAATAATTTCCGGGCCTTTCTCTCTCTAACCTTCCTGCATGCTGCATGTTTTCTCCGTCTTCCAGAAAAACAGTTTCCTAGATTTCCTACTTTCTAACTAATCAGCCAAAGGGATCTACCAAACGCAAAAAAAAAAAAACAAAAAAAAATTAAATAAATAAATAAATAAAAGCTTAATATGCGCTGCGCTCCAGCAGCAATGAGATGAAATCACTGGGGCACAGATTATGAACTCAGCTGAAAAGTACATGAAGTACCAGAGAATATGGGCTGATATGAATGATCGCAAGTGAATTATTATTATGTTTTTGTTGGAGCAATTTTGTGAATATAACAGCGGCCGCGTGCAGGACGCAGCTGGAGTATTTGAGCCGTTACCACTGCGTCCTCTCTGCTCATAGAATGCCCGCAAAGCTGAGTCCATAAATGACGTCATATATGTGGATACTGGATCTTTTTTCAGGCTTCCCGCAATTTGAATTTTTAGGAAACCCACATCTTGATTCTGGGTTAAAAATGCATTGTAATTACCACGTTACTGACAATTGTACCGAGTAAATATTACCATTTTCTTTCCCTGTTATGCCTTACATTACCACATTACAGCAAAAAGCAATGCATTACAGTAATTAATTACTTATGTACCACGCTACTCCCAACACTGGATAGGGATGCATGTTGTCCAACATTTCTTTAACCGGCTATTGACGTCCTTAATGGTTAATAGCCGGTTAACCATTAGTGGTAATTAACCGGTTCACTACGTGCATCCATATGAGCCCCTGACACACACCTGGCTGATCAGATAAAGGCGTGCTGAACGTTTCTCTGTGATGAAGATCTTAGTGAACAAAGCAGACCAGCTTTATTTGTTCCAGTAAAACAGTAAAACCTCCCCGTGGATGTAAGAGCTGTAGGTTCACACCAGGCGGTAAAACCACATCATGTAATAATCTGATATTTCACGCCTGTTACGTCTTAATATGTGTGATTCTATCACGGATACATTAATTTTCTTAGAGACGAATGGTTTAATAAAATAAATCCTCCTTTTATTTCACTTCTAAAACAGATTTCCTTTAATAACATTGTGTTGTTTTTATTCTTTTAGCCATTTTGTGCTTTTCCCCCCACACAAACGTTAATCTGATGCTGTGAAACCGTTAATAACTATAAATGTCCTTCAAAGACGGCAAAACTAACTTATAACTAAAGCAGACATGACAAAGGAGCAACAAGATTGAAAGTTTGTAACTAAGATCTCTCTCTCTCTCTCTCTCTCTCTCTCTCTCTCTCTCTCTCTCATATATATATATATATATATATATATATATATATATATATATATATATATATATATATATATATAATATTTACATATATATAAATATATATATATGATATATACATAAATATATATATTATATATATGTAAATATTAGATATATGTATATATGTGTATCTATATACATATATACTGTATTTATAGATCAGCGTGTTTTTCCACTAAATACAGTGCTCTGGGGAAACTGGCTTTAAAATATTTAAAATAGACAATTATCGACAAAAAGAAACCGCTGTAAACTTTAAAGAAACGGTGTGCATTTGTACTTTTAATCTCTGGTAAATTCATCAAAACTTTGTTGAAAATTAATAAAATGATGTCCAGTTAGTAATAAATATATCTGGCTTCATAAGATAAAACCATCGAATGTGGGTCTAAAGTACAGTGTGCGGGTCTAGCGTCTTTGAGGGGCATTATATTAGACGACTTGCTTCCTTCTGACCAGCTCAGGATCCTGCACCTGTTGATGAGTTCACACTAGATGATTGATTGGACGTACGACTTACGGAAGTTACGTTATCAAGAAACACAAATTTAATAACAAAATTGCTAAACTCTTTATATAAAAGAACATAATCAAAAAAGTGATGCAATATATTTTGCCGAGCGGTATTGCTGTAGTACGATGATGTCATCAGCAGGCGCAGGACCCCAACCAGATCCAGAAAACTACAATCAGCGTTACATTCTCTTGATGGAATTAAGTGAAGGACCATCAAAGTGTGAGGAGTCCCACCAGCATGCTTTCTGCTCCACAAGTAACATTTACCGTAGTGTTTTCTTAAACTTGAGGATCAGCACCTCCAAATCTGAGACCATGGTTCTCGACCGGAAAAGGGTGGCTTGCCAACTCCGGGTCGGGGGAGAGGTCCTACCTCAAGTGGAGGAGTTTAAGTATCTCGGGGTCTTGTTCACAAGTGAGGGTAGGAGGGATCGGGAGATCGACAGGCGGATTGGTTCAGCGTCTGCAGTGATGCGGACTCTGAGCCGATCTGTCGTGGTGAAGAGGGAGCTGACCCAGAAAGCCAGGCTCTCGATTTACCGGTCGATCTACGTCCCAATCCTCACCTATGGTCATGAGCTTTGGGTAATGACCGAAAGAACGAGATCGCGGATACAAGCAGCTGAAATGAGTTTCCTCCGTAGGGTGGCCGGGCTCAGCCTTAGAGATAGGGTGAGGAGCTCGGACATTCAGGAGGGACTCGGAGTAGAACCGCTGCTCCTCTGGATCGAAAGGTGTCAGTTGAGGTGGTTTGGGCATCTGGTCAGGATGCCTCCTGGACGCCTCCCTGGGGAGGTGTTTTGGGCATGTAAGTAAGTAAGTAAGTAAGTAAAATTTTGTTTTTAGAGCGCCTTTCACAGATATAAATCAAAAAGCGCTGTACAACATGATAAAGATCAGGGCAAATACCTCTAACCAATAAAAACATCAGAAAAACAATAGCAGTGATAAAATAGAAAATAAAATCATGAGTATAAACAAAGTGAAGGTGTGAACCCGAACAAAGCCATCATTCTGAAACATTTAGGGAGGGAACGCCTGGATGAAAAGGTGAGTTTTTAGATGATTTTTAAAGACCTCTACAGTGTTAGAGACGGAGATTTGAAGGCAGACTGTTCCAAAGTCTGGGTGCAATAGTCTGAAAGGCCCTGTCCCCTTTGGTTTTCAGTCTGGTTCGAGGAACAGCCAGGAGGTTTTCAGATGTGGATCTAAGGTTCCGAGAGGTGGTGTGTGGGGATAAAAGCTCAGATAGGTAGCTTGGAGCCTGGTTGTTAAGACCTCTATAGGTCAGGACTAAAACTTTAAACTATATTCTATATTCTACCGGGAGCCAGTGGAGGGACTGTAAAACTGGAGTGATGTGAGCTCGTCTGCTGGATTTGGTTAGGAGCCTGGCTGCTGCATTTTGGATGGCTTGAAGACGTGAGAGGGAGGTTTTGCTGAGACCAGTAAAAAGAGCGTTACAATAGTCTAAGCGTGATGACACAAAGGCATGGATGATTTTTTCCAGATCTGCAGTAGAAACCAGTTTAC